ACAAAAAATTTAAAATCCAAAACCCACAGTTTTCCCCCCAAACCCCCCAACCATAAACCCCACGGGTAGCTACCGGGTTTCCCACCCCCACACCCCCCCAAAAAGCACAGTTTTTTGGAAAAGGAAACGGGAAGGAAGGGTAAACAAACGCTGATGGAAAAAACAAACAAGTGGGAGGAGGGGGCACAAAAGAGCCCCAAAGAGGCATCCCCCAAAGACATCATAGCGCTCACAAAACCAAGCTCCCGGGTATGAAAACCCGACCCCCTTTTTCCCAGCGGGAAAACCAGATCCTTTAAAAAAAACAGAAGGAAGGGGGGGGGTGGGGGATTTGGAAAATTGCTGATCAAACACCGAGGGAAAATTTTGTTTGACGGGAGAAGGAGCCACCCCGGAGAAAAAAGTGATTACATAGCAGGAACGTTTCACTCTGGTGGCCCCAAAGGGTGAAAATTTCCCAGTGATTAAACCCACCACAGAACAGCAGGGGGCCCCAAGGCAAGAGTAAACGAGAGCAATAGAGCGATGGTTGACACACTGGTTGCAGTGGCCAGAAGAGCTCTTGCATGCGGGGCAAAGCTCCTGATCCAGGGGCCCGGACTTTAACCCCCAAAGGAGTTTCAAATTTGGGAGAACTTGGAGCCCAGGGGCCCAAAATAATGGGGGCTAAGATGATGGGGGTGTACGGGAAAACTTCGTTTACAAACACTTTAAAAGGACACTCCAAGAGAGAGAGGAGAGGGAAAAACCCCAGCAAGACGGGATTTTGGGTTTTCCCCTTGAGTAGTGCAGAAATTGGGGACATCACATATGAAAAAACCCCTTTGGGGGGCCAGCGATCATTGGTTTTGAGTTTTAAAATACAGAGTAGAGCTACAAGGGGGGGGGAACGGGAAAGGCCGGACAAATAAAAACCCAAAAAAAAGGGAAAAGGGGGACTACCCCGGAATGAGGAATTTCCCTGAAATGAGGTTCAGGGGGACAGTTTAACTGGCGGGGAAAGGCCAGTTAAAAGAATGAAAAGGAATATGTAGCAACAAAAGTGCAAGGAGGCTGAGGAGAGGTTTTTTACCCAAGGGTTTAAAAGGAATAATGAAAAAGGGCCCAAAATGAGCCCATGGTTCACCCAAAGGTGCAAGGGGGCCAAAAAACCAAATGTGGGAAAGGGGGGGGAAGAAATTTTTAAAAAAGGCCCAAAAGGGCCCAGGGGATTAAGGAGAGCAGTCTAGAGCCCGAAAAAGAATATGCCAGATAAGAAGGGAGGGCCCCAAATCAAATGAAAAACGACAAGCACAAAAAGCCCCCCAAACTGACCCAAGCTCTTTTTTCAGCCACTTTAGGGGAAAAAACCCAAACCCTCAAAGGGCCAGGGAATCAGGCTAAGGAAGGATTGGGGGGGGGAGACAACAAAAATGACCGTGGGAAATATGGGGAGGAACTCAACAAGAGATTAAAAGAAGTTTTTCCCGAGGAGACAGAAGGGGGTCCAGAAAAACGGAGAGGTGGGGTTTCACCCCCATGGTTTTTGGGGGGGGCACCGTAAAAACACAACCGAGGAAAAGTGAAGAGGCTTCCCGAAATGACTAGTACCTCAAAAGGGAATGGGGCCAAATAACATCTCCCATTGGGGCCTGAGAGAGGGAGGGAGAGGCGCAAAGTGTACCCCAAAAAACAATATTCAATACACTATCGAAACAGGGAATTTCCCGAGGGATGGAAACAGAAAATGGGGGTCCCAAACTTTAAAAAAAAAAGGGGACGGAAAATGAACAAATAAACTACAGACCAATGCCCCGACATGTATAGCATGGAAAATCCCTTGGGAAAAGTTTTTCAGGAGAAGAATGGGTGGAACATCTAGAAAAAGGAAAAGATCTCATCACCACCGCCAACATGGTTTCCCAAAACGGGAAATCCTGTGTCACAAACCTACTTGGGGTTCTAAAGAAAATGGTGAAAAGCACTAAGGGCCCAAAAAGAGAAGGGTGGGGGGATTTTCATTTTTTTTGGGCTGCAAGAAGGGTTTGACACATACCACACAAGAGATTAGTGCAAAAAATTTGAACCAAGCAGGGATAACAGGGAAAGGGACTGGGAAAAGGATCAGGGAAACTTTTTCAGGGGGGGAAAAAAAAGCAGCGAGTAATGGACGTGGCGAGGTGTAGAGTGGGGGACCGTGACCAGCGGGGTCCCACAGGGGCAGTCCCAAAGGGCCAGTGGGTGTTTTTGGTATTTTTTGAACGACAAAGCGGAAGGGAAAAATCTCCAGGTTTTCCCTGTTTGCAGATGAAAGTGAAGGGGTTTATGAGAAGAGGTTTATTCGAAACGAAGACCCCGGCATAAATTTCAAAAAGGGGTCTGGGCGGGCGCAACCTGGTTCAGCAACTGGGGGGCCCGGAGTTTCAAAACCAACCAAGTGCAAATCATGAGGATTGGGGAAGGGCAAAAAAAGACCCAGACGGAGTACCCGTCCCCAGGGTCCAGAGACTAGAAACCTCACTCAAGGAAAAAGATCTTGGGGTGAGTATAACACCAGGCACATCTCCTGAAGCGCACATCAACCAAATAACTGCTGCAGCATATGGGCGCCTGTCAAACCTCAGAACAGCATTCCGACATCTTAATAAGGAATCGTTCAGGACCCTGTTCACCGTGTACGTTAGGCCCATATTGGAGTATGCGGCACCAGTTTGGAACCCACACCTAGCCAAGCATGTAAAGAAACTAGAGAAACTGCAAAGGTTTGCAACAAGAATAGTCCCAGAGCTAAGAGGTATGTCCTATGAGGAGAGGTTAAGGGAAATCAACCTGACGACACTGGAGGACAGGAGAGATAGGGGGAACATGATAACGACTTACAAAATACTGAGAGGAATTGACAAGGTGGACAAAGACAAGATGTTCCAGAGACTGAACACAGGAACAAGGGGGCACAGTTGGAAGCTGAAGACACAGATGAATCACAGGGATGTTAGGAAGTATTTCTTCAGCCACAGAGTAGTCAGGAAGTGGAATAGTTTGAGAAGCGATGAAGTGGAGGCAGGATCCATACATAGCTTTAAGCAGAGGTACGATAAAGCTCATGGTTCAGGGAGAGTGACCTAGTAGCGACCAGTGAAGAGACGGGGCCAGGAGCTTGGACTCGACCCCTGCAACCTCAACTAGGTGAGTACACACACACACACACACACACACACACACACACACACACACACACACACACACAGGCAGGACTTCAAAGAGACCTGGACAGACTGGACACCTGGTCCAGCAAATGGCTTCTCGAATTTAATCCTGCCAAATGCAAAGTCATGAAGATAGGGGAAGGGCACAGAAGACCACAGACAGAGTATAGGCTAGGTGGCCAAAGACTGCAAACCTCACTCAAGGAGAAAGATCTTGGGGTGAGTATAACACCGAGCATGTCTCCGGAAGCACACATCAATCAGATAACTGCTGCAGCATATGGGCGCCTGGCAAACCTCAGAAAAGCATTCCGATACCTTAGTAAGGAATCATTCAAGACACTGTACACCGTGTATGTCAGGCCCATACTGGAGTAATGCAGCACCTGTTTGGAACCCGCACTTGATAAAGCACGTCAAGAAACTAGAGAAAGTACAAAGGTTTGCAACAAGGTTAGTTCCAGAGCTAAGGGGAATGTCCTATGAAGAAAGATTAAGGGAAATCGGCCTGACCACACTGGAGGACAGGAGGGTCAGGGGAGACATGATAACGACATATAAAATACTGCGTGGAATAGACAAGGTGGACAAGGACAGGATGTTCCAGGGAGGGGACACAGAAACAAGAGGCCACAATTGGAAGTTGAAGACACAAATGAGTCAGAGAGATAGTAAGAAGTATTTCTTCAGTCATAGAGTTGTAAGGCAGTGGAATAGCCTAGAAAATGACGTAGTGGAGGCAGGAACCATACACAGTTTTAAGACGAGGTTTGATAAAGCTCATGGAGCGGGGAGAGGGAGGGCCTAGTAGCAACCGGTGAAGAGGCGGGGCCAGGAGCTAAGACTCGACCCTTGCAACCACAAATAGGTGAGTACAAATAGGTGAGTACATACACACGGAGAGAGAACTATGGTTACAATTTGATAATGATAAACATTACCCAAATTTGCAAAATTAATTCTAGGATTTCTTGAATGTATCCGATAGCTTTCAAACCTCTTTGCATCTTTGGTTCTAACATTTACAAAAAGGGATTTAATAACTTATAAGAGCCGAGAGTAAAAACCAAGAATGTAGGACAGCATTTCCTAATTTTACATGTAATACGGTCCGCGATGTCTTTAAGGAGGACGTCGCAGACCGTATTATTGAGATCAACTAAATCAGGATTATATATGATGTATGTTGTGTAATCTGCAAACATGACTGTTTTAAGTTCCTGGAACGTATTTTGTAGGTCACTTATATAAATGAGAAATAATAGTAGGTCATGGACGCTACCCTGTGGCACATCTATGTTGATTGTTTTGGGTAAATGAGTTTCATGCTGCCGTCTGTCTGTAAGGTAAGACTTATGAAAATAAGATCATGATTTCTCATACCATTGTGTACTAGTTCAAGCAGCAATATATTGTAAACTACATGTCAAAAGCTCTTCTTAGATCAATGAGGAGGCCCAATGGATGTTCATTATTTCCTAGAGCTAAATAGAATTAGTCTAGCGTCTTAGTATAGCATCAATTTGGCCTGAAGTGTATAGTGATAAATACCAGGATTCGTTTACATTTTTTTAAGATTAGTTCCTCTGGTTATGAAGAAGAAAAAGAAGAAGAGAGAGAGTAAGAGAAGTGGGAATGAATCCGTAACCTAACCTTGTAAAACCTTTGTGTAAAAAAAAAAAAAAATAAAATATAGAAAACTAATGAAATTCTCTCTTTTCTTAAGAAATGGTGAGGAATACACTTTACCAACCATAAATCTGTTAACGTACAATTAAAAAAAAATCTGAAAATTAATACTAGCTGTTGACACAGGTGCTGGTAGGAGTGTGGCTGTTATTTTGTTTGGTCATCAGTACTGGGTTTCAGTCTTCCCTGATTGCCCACTTGACTGTTCAGGACAAGTCTTCAACGATGGACAGCTTTCAGGATATGGTGAGAGAGGGCAACTGGAGATGGGGTAGTGAACCCTGGTTCTATAGTGGATCAGTGTTTGAGTATTTTTCAAAACATACAGACCCTGTGATGAAACAAATACATAAAGAAATGGAGGTAAGTTTCAAAACATTCCTTAATAATTACTGACATAATAATAATTGCTTGGATAATTCAAACTTCTGTGAGATATCTAGCATGTTAAAGGTTTTCATAGCGCATTGGTAATAATTGTTTGTGAAATAAACAGAAGCAGATGCTGCAGCAAAATCTCGCTTTGTTCTGTATGTGATAAGATCTTTGTGGAAATTCATTTATTTTCATACTACAGAAACGTGGCTATTGATTTTTCTTTTATATTCGCTACAAATACAACAACCGCAGGTGCTAACTTTGAAAGAAGCTCTGAAAAAGGTGCTAGCAGGGAGATATTCCATCATTGCCGTCAAAAACTACATAACCGTCATAGTTATGTCTTGGTACACAGACGCAGGCGGACAGACACCCGTCTACATCTCTAACAAGGGAGTGAATATTATAGCTTGCTTCGGATGGGCGTACAGGTAACAATTAATGCAACTCTTATTAAGTCATCTACAATACGCAAAAACATCTATTTAAGAAAACATTGGGCAACTTATGTGGTTCATGACGCAAAATCGGTTTAATGGCGAATCTTTAATTTTTCAGAAAAGGTTCGCCATTCAAAGAGCGATTTATACAGCTAATATCTCGCTTAGAAGATGCTGGCATCATAAAATACTGGACTGATGATGTGATAGAGAAACGAGTGAAGGAAAATAGGAAAACTTCTGCGCTAGATTCTCACCCAGTTTTACAAACCATAAAAGAGGTAAACATCACTTACACATTCTCGACTTATTTAAGTGACATAAATATAACCCTTCACTTTGTAACGCCACTTATAACATAAGTAATAATATATTTGCATCATTTCTATTACAAACGTTTGAATAATTTTATTTCAATATGTCTGACAACAGTCAACTAATTTGACTTTCCGTTCACATCACCATATTCATAATCATAAAAAATGGCTAAAAATTAACTGGAGGTTTTCCAAAAGGAAAATAATCAAGTGGTTCTTGGAATCGATCATCTTCAAGGAGCTTTTTACCTGCTGTTTGTGGGATCTGTCATCGCTCTTCTCACCTTACTGCTGGAGAAACTCACCCATACCTTCTTCTTGCCTTAGTAACGTCCTGCCGGACATCACTAGACCAGAGCCGAGGATGGATGGTACTCAACTTCAGCATCACCTTCCTCACTCACCGTGACTTCTCATTTTAGCACCGCTAATTATTTCACTATATAGATGGATGAAATGGAATGACTAGGTCGTATAAATCTGCTGTGGATGGAAGGCGGGGTAGGGGTTGGAGGGAGAGGCGTTAGGAGGCTTTGTTTGCGAGGGGCTTATACTTCCAGCAAACGTGTTTGTGTTAGATAGGATCAAGTGAAGCAAATGGTTTTCATGGCCTGACGTGCTGTTGGAGTGTGAGCAAAGTAACATTTATGAACGGATTCAGGGAAGTGTTTAGCCGGACTTGAGTCCTGAAGGTGGGAAGTACTGTGCCTGCACTCTGAAGGACAGGTGAATATATGTTGCCGTGTTTAAACTGTAGTGTCAGTGAGCCTCTGACAAAACAATGATGGAGTGAATAATGATGAAAGTGTTTCTTCTTTTTTGGGGTACTCTGCCTTGGTGGGAAAAAACCGATGTGTTAATAAAAAGAATACATCCATGCATGTTTTTATATTCAGGCTAATTTCCATTCAGGAAACTGATGCCGACTCTCCATTCTTATGAGCTAAATTTCTTAACATTTTCAGTAATTGCATCGAGAGTGTTCAAATTATCATATACTATTTCCTCTTCTTATAACATAAATTTCTTGTGCATCTGTATATTTTTATTATCCGTACAGTGTGTACTTTGACTCTGTCCCAGAATGAATCAGTGATATATGACTGTAAACATTTTTGTATAAATTATGTTTACAAATACAAAATATACTCACACAGACACACATCCCTCTTCTACATATGTAACCTACAAAAAATAAATTAAGGAACTCATTCACAAATGTGGCGTGTATATATGTATATACATTAAATTCCACCTCAGCAAGAAATACCTAGTTATCAAATAAATATATAACTATATTTGTGAATGTTATCCTGGCTACACACTGACCCAACAACAACGGCTTATTCTCTTTAATTTCTTCACGCCTCATAACGATATATAGTTTTCCAGTGTTACCAGCTGTCGTGAGTGTGAAGGACGTTAAGACAGTCCCTAAGTGACGCTGAGTGTCACATATGTGTGAGGAGCAAAGTGTACACTCAGCAAAAAAAAAAAAAAAAAGCTTATGGCCAAATTTACTTAAATTTTACTTTATTGCTATATGGAATAAAAAAGTGATTACTACCCATTTTCCTCAACACATACAATAAACATCCTACCAACTTACGTTCTGGAGAGGGAGTCTGCTAACACTTTCTCTTTGCTGGCAATATGACGCATAGTCAGATTTTTATGGTTGCAACCGCATTGCCCAGCGCATCAGACGATTGTTCTTGTTCCTCATGGAGCTGAGGTAGGTCAGAGGATTGTGGTCACTGAAGATGGTGTGACACATGAGGTGTGCTGAACAAGAATATGTAGAAATATTCCAGGGCATGTACAAGGGCTTCCTTCTCAGTCGTGGAGTAGACCTGTTGATAGGCCTGGTATTTGGCTGAATAATGAGCCACGGGCAGCAGAGCTCTCTCACTAGATGCTTGAAGTAACACTGTCCCCTTTCCGGAATCACATGCATCAACTTGTAAGATAAATGCATTGAAAAATCTTGTGAGCATCGCATAAGAGACGTTTGACAAGGATAAAAGCCTCTTCAACTAAATGTACTTTGGGGTAAGGACATTTAGGGGGCAACCACATCTGCAAAATTTCAGCAAAATCTACGACAAAATCCAGTTATTCCAAAGAGTCTTTGCAGAGACTTATTATCCTAAGGAGCGGGATAATTTTGATTGCACAAATAACTCGCACATAGGAGAGTTATTTGTGTATAGTTCCAGTCATGGCATTGTGCCTTTTTGTTACTTAATTTTAAATGGTCGAAACTTTGGCCATTTAAAATTAAGTGAAACTTTGCCACTACCCACTTCATGACCTAAGTTACAAAACAACGGTGAAGAAACCGCGGCTCCCGAAGCATTATCTTCTCAAACTTCCATATGCATTATGTGTTCTAAACTATTGTTTAATTATACTCGCTGAACGTAATCAAAACATGTTTAAAACAAGCACAGATGACGCCACTGCACTCTGCGCCATCACTCTTCATGCAGTTTTGCACCAGCGACAGTAGCAGAACATAACTTGTGCAGTTCAGTGTAGATTAGAACTTTCCTGATTAAGACTGATTTTAGTTAAAGTTATAAAAACCCTTGTTTAAAATGACAGAGCAACAGAAGAGTATAAAACGGAAATACGAACAAAAAAGAGAGAGTTTAACAAACAGTGGGAGGATAATTTTGCTTATAATGTTAAGGGTGAAATTATTATTATAAACAAGGGGGAAGCGCTAAATCCGTAAGATTATACAACGCCTGAGGGGGAAGATGTGGAAGGTATTCAGGTTTAATTCAGGGAACTGGAGAACAGATCCAATTTCCTAGATCAAGAACCGCTCACCAGCATCAAGGAACCTTCCTTGAGGGGTTAAGGGTGAAAAGGCTCTGTGATTTACCTGTCATGCAACCATCAACCACTTGAAAGTCAGTAATTTAAAGCGTCACAGCGAATGTAATCATAAAATATTTGCATCTTAATCAGAAGTAAAATCATAAAATAAAATATTTGAATTCCACAAAATAGCCCATTTTTCCTTCTGTAAGCAAAGTGATTTGGCTACTGAAGCTAGTTTTGTAATAGCTTGGAATATTTCTCCAAGTAAACTACCATACGTTCATGGAGAATTTGTGAAAAAGAATTCTAATGATGTGACTGGAATTCTCGCTCAAGAGAACTCAGAACTTAACAGGAAAAAGAACCAGTTTTTATCTCCCGCTGCACTACCGAGAGACTCATTTGTCAAATGAGTTCTACAAACGTATGTTCACTGCTGAGTGATCTGAAAACCTGCGTCGCTTTCAGCTTAGTAATGGATGAATCTACAGCCATTCAGGATATGCCTCTCCCAGCTTGTTATATTTGCTCGTTGTTACAAACGAAGGAAACGTAGAAAAAGGATTCTTAGACCTGATAAGCTGAAAAGAAACCTCAAGCTGTACTGACATCAAAAATGCACATAACAAACCTTTATTAAATGCTCAACTACCATTGTATAATCTTGTTAGCATTGCAACAAACAGAGCACCAGCTATGGTAGTTCAAAATAATGACCAAGTTGGGCAGTTGACACTTGATCTCTAGTATCCTGAATGTCTCTTTATCCACTGTATCATCCACCTTGAGTATTAAGTATGTAAACACTTTAAGTTTAACAATGTCATAAACTGCGCTTCAGAAACTATGAATTTCATTCACAGTTTCTAAATTCACGGTGCGTTTTTGCACCGTGAATTTAGAAATTTTATTGAAGAGATAAACCTTGACGAAAAGCCAAATGACCTTTCCATTTACTGTATTGTAAGATGGCTATCAACTTCCAATCTATTGAATAAGTTTGCTGCGCTTTTTGAACCAATCACTGCTTTCATGAAAGAAAAGAAAAAGAATTACCCACAACTAGAAGATCACGAATGAGTCCAGGATCTGATGTTCTTCACAGATGTAATGTATCACCTTCAAGGAAGGAACAAATTCATTACAGATACACAAATAACCCGCACATAAAAGAGAGAAACTTACGACGACGTTTCGGTCCGACTTTGACCATTGACAAAGTCACACAGTGTGACTTTGTCAATGGTCCAAGTCGGACCGAAACGTCGTCGTAAGCTTCTCTCTTTCATATGCGGGTTATTTGTGTATCGTTCCAGTCACGGTATTGTGTCTTTTTTTTGTTATTTATTACTGAACTTGACCAATCAGTTTTCAGAATAAAGTAAAGCTTTTGCAGAGATATTCGGCAGCAAAGAAATTTTACCACTTTCCCAACCTTAAATTAAGAATAACTGCTTTTCCTGATGTTGAAATTAAAGACAGTAAATTGAAACAATAGGAAGGAAACTTAAAAGCGCTTTATAATGATTTTGAGAGCAGTTTTGAGAAACTGAAACAGTTAAGGCCATGTTTTGGACTTCTTGTGAATCCTTTAGTGATTGATGTCATCAACGATGAATGTCCTGTTGTTGCACCTTTTACCTCGAATATTGCTTAAGTAGAAACAGAGCTTATTAAACTGCAGGAAGATGTGGGTTTGAAACCAATACATAAAATCTCATGACTGATTTGGAAACAAATATCAGAAGCAAAGTATCCGAATATTCAGAAAACAGGCTTCTGACTACTCTGTTTTTTGGACAACTTACTGCTGTGTATCACTCTTCTTTGTAATGAAATTTATCAAGTCTAAACATCGTGCTGTCTTCAGTAACAATCAGCTGATTGAGCTTCTTAGAACAGTTTTGACATCCTACCAGCCAGATTTTAAACTATTAACTGCAAACATGAAGCCTCAAAGTCTTCATGTAGCAGAGATTAAACTTATTCTGCTTTGGTGAGTAGGACTGTTATATACAGTTGTAAAATAATATTTTTTTTGTGCCTCTTGAACATCCAAAAATGTGTGGAAATTATTATATGTGGCTTATCTTATCGAAGTACTTCTCAACTTCTGCTATAGAAGATTGACCAGAAGATAACTTACTAAGGTTTACAGTTACTGTAAATGTCCTGAACGTCTCAAAGAGGTATTTAAGATAAGACACATGTTGATTCCACGTATCAGAAAGTACATGTATATCGTCGATGCAAGTCGCCATGCCTTCACGTCCTTCAGTAACCTGACGGCTACTGAGGTGGGTGAGTTCCTCATTCGAAAGGAGTCACAGTATATTGATAGTAACCTCCTGGAATTAGGAAAGTAGAAATCTTTGCTTTATCCATTAAATGTACCTGGTAGTAGAAATGGAAATAGAAGTAGAAACAGATAGAAACATTTTTTTTACTGTTAATCAAATTTCAATGAATTTTTTATTGTAATTTAAAAAGCTTTT